AATTGAGGATGAGAAGCTGGCCATGTATAGTCAATAGCTACACATAAGACTGAGGTAGGAGGATCACTTGAGCCTAAGAAACATAGCAACACTTTGTCTCTAAAATGTGAGGTATATATTATATACATATTTTTATCTATTTATACACACATACACATAAATAAAAAGAGAAAAAGGAGTTGAATCTGGAAGAGATGTTGGGAATGGGGAGGACACCAACCCTACCTCTTAAATCTGAAAGATGTGGGGTAGTGGGTGGAACAAAAAGCTCAAGTCCCTGCATAGTAATTTTTTACTGGAAGCAGTTGCTTCAGGATTAGTGAGAGTTGGAAAGAGGTCAGTGCAGAATGTAGAGGAGTTTGTCTCTTCCAGCAAAGACCTTTTTTTTTTTTTTAGTTATAGGTGGACACAATGTCTTTATTTTACTTTTTATGTGGTGCTGAGAATCGAACCCAGGGTCTCACGCATGCTAGGTGAGTGATCTACCTCTGAGCCACAACCCCAGCCTAGCAAAGGACTTTTTAATTTTTTTTTCTTTTTTTAGTTGTAGATGGACACAACACTTTTATTATTTTTATGTGGTACTGAGGACCAAACCCAGTGCCTCATATGTGCTAGGCAAGTGCTTCACCACTGAGCTATAACCCCAGCCCTAGCAAATGATTTCAAAGACATCCCTATAGGGTAGTACCTTGGCTTGAGTTAGACCAGGCTTTGACTCTGTTTTGGAGTCTCAGCAATGTGTTTATCTTGCCATTCTTCCTTGGAATCAAAATTAACTTCTCATTTGGAATAAAAGAATTGCCTCATTGTCATACAGATTAGAGGGGGCAGAGCATAAAGAGTTCCTTAATTGATCATGCTTGATACTATTTTAAGGTCATATAAAGTCATTTATGGGGCTGGGGTTGTGGCTCAGTGGTAGAGTGCTTGCCTAGCATGTGTGAAGCACAGGGCTCTATCCTCAGCACTGCATACAAATAAATGAATAAAATAAAGGTCCATCAACACACACACAAAAATTTCTTTAATAAAATAAAGTCATATATGCACATCAAGCAAGTTATTGAAATTTTCACTCCAAAACCTGTGGGGAAATAATTATCAAGGAAAGAATTGAATGATTACCACCACCTGCCCCCATATAAACAGGAGAGAAGATTTCAAGTAATTGAAGAAAATGAGAAGAATCAAGGGTGATGGGTTGGAATGCTGTAGATAAAGGCTTGATTCTCATAGTAAAGGTAGAGTCAAGTTGGGCGCAGTGACAAGTGCCTATGATCCCAGCAATTTAGAAGGCTGAGGCAGGAGAATCACAAGTTCAAAGCCAGCCTCAGCAACTTGATGAGTTCCTAAGCAACTTAGACCCCATCTCAGAATTTTTTTAAAAAGAGCTGGGCGTGGTGGCGCGTGCCTGTAATCCCAGTGACTCGGGAGGCTGAGACAGGACAATCACAAGTTCAAAGCTAGCCTTAGCAAAAGCGAGGTGCAAGCAACTCAGGGAGACCCTGTCTCTAAATAAAATACAAAATAGGGGGGCTGGGGATGTGGCTCAAGTGGTAGCGCGCATGCCTGGCATGCGCGGGGCGCTGGGTTCGATCCTCAACACCACATAAAAATAAAATAAAGATGTTGTGTCCACCGAAAACTAAAAAATAAATATTAAAAAAAAAAAATACAAAATAGGGCTGAGGATGTGACTCAGTGGTAAAGTGCCCCTGAGTTCAATCTCTGGTACCAAAAAAAAAAAAAGGGGGGGGGTGTGGTGATATGGCTCAGTGGTTATATGCTCCTTGGTTCAGTTCAATTCCTGGTACGAAATATATATCTAAATATAGTCAGGCAATGTCCCTTAGTTCTTTGTCACTTTTCTGGGAATCCTAACTTAAGACACTTGGAGGCCAAAATACCCAGATGTTGAGCAGTGAACAATGAGGAAGAGGGATTAATTAGCTTGTCTGGGCCAATCAGACAGACCTAACTCTATTTGGAGAAAGTGGATAGAATGTATATCTTGAGAGCTTCTCACTTAAAAAGGACTCTTGGTTGAGTTTCTTTGACCAGATTGTGGGGGTCAACCTGGCTTAGAGAGAAAATTGTGGTTCAGGTCAAGTGTCAGTCCCTGTAGAACAGAAATCCCATGTACACATATTTGCCAGATGGTAGAGCTAAACCACCAATGGGTACTAGACCACTTTTCCATTAACGCATTTCTTTGGGGTGTTGTAGCCATTTAAGTCTACTTCCCTAACCTATGGTTCTACCTCCTTAGGTTAAAGTCCAAGGAGGACAAGGAGAAAAGAGAAACCTTGTTCTAAAGCCATTCCCCTGCTCATGAGTCTTAGCTGCTGTTGTTTTTCCTATCTAGGGCTAGCTATACCTACCTCCATTTTCTGACCTATTCTAGTGCCCCCTATTTAGAGAGATGGCCTAATGACTCTCTTTGTGTGAAGAGACTCAACACTTTTTCTTAGGAGCAGAATTATCCAGTCTTGATGTGGTAAGAGGGGAAAAGTGGATAGGAAAGAGATCACAAGTTTGTTCGTGTGTTGTTGCCATGTCACCTCCCCACTTCCGCCCAATATCGAAAACAAGATGTTCTGAGATTTTTCCAGGTCAAAATTTTATAATGTGATTCTGGACAGAGTTCTTGGCTCTAGAGATCTCATGCTGCAGAAAACTTAGAAACCTTCTTCACCCCGCCCCCCAAAAAGAAAGATAAACTTGGCACCGATATTATAGACAGGAAGAATGTTAAGTCATGGGGCTGAGGGTGTAGCTCAATGGTAAAATGCATCCATGTGGGGTCCTGGGTTCATTCTCCAGCATCAAAAAAAGAAAAAAATAATCACTGTTTCCCAATTTGGAGATAACAATGCCTTGAGAAGTGTTTGGGGATTTAGTTCAGTGAAGAGTGCTTGCCTAGTCCATGAAAGGTCCTGGGTTCTATCCTTTTGTGGGAGTGGGGTGGGAAGATGAAAATAGTAACTTCAGAAATCGTAGAATCATTACAAGAAGTTTGCAAATTCACTAAGTAATCTGTTGCTATGAATTAAATATATATCCTACATATATATAATATATATATATATATTTTTTTTTTTTTTTTTTTAATTGTTGACAGACCTTTATTTTATTTGTATGTGGTGCTGAGAATTGAACCCAGTGCCTCATGCATGCTAGGCAAGCATGCTACCACTGAACCACAACCCTAGCTCCTATCTTTATATATTAATTATTGTAATTCCTAGTATTTTGGTACTAGGAATTGAACCCAGAGGCACTTAACCACTGAGTCCTATTCCCAGCCCTTTTTTTTTTTGAGACAGGGTCTTGCTAGGTTGCTCAGGGCCTCACTAAGTTGCTAAGGCTGGCCTTGAACTTGCTATCCTCCTGTCTCAGCTTCCTGAGCTGCTGGGATTTTAGGTGTCTACCACTATATCTGGCTGTACTATTATTTTTGAAGATATATAAATTAATAAAATGTGAGTTTTTTAAAAGTGTTGAATGTGTAGCAGTTGTTTATAACATATATATATATATATTTTAGTCTAGATATAGCCTGAAATTTTTAGATCATAAACTAGACAGGGGTCTGCATAATAAAAGATTAGAAATTTCTGCTCTAAGTCATTTGAGATGGGTTAAATGAGAGTGTAGTTATGCACTGTGTGTTTAAAGAGACAATTTATGGAAAGGGAATGAAGTTGTCAACAAAGATATAGCTCCTTCAGTATATAAGGTAGTTTAGTCTATCTTCTATTTATTTATTTATATTTATTTTTTAGTTGTAGTTGGACACAGTACTTTTATTTTATTTATTTATTTTTATGTGGTTTTGAGGATTGAACCCAGGGCCTTGCACATGCTAGGCAAGTACTCTACTGCTGAGCCACAACCCCAGGCTTCTACCTTCCATTTATAGCCCCTGGATCCCTTCTTCATGCTGCCACTGCTAACAATTCCTTGCATATATTCCATGTACAGGCGTGCATGCATGCAGATACATGTTTCTATATATTCATATTTTATATTTATTTTAATTAGGTATATATGACAGCAGAATGCATTTTGATTCATTGTATTCAATTGCAGCACAACTTTTCATTTCTCTGGTTGTACACAATGTAGCATCACACCATATGTGAAGTCATAACTGTACCTAGGGTAATGGTGTCTATCTCATTCCACCATCTCTATATATTCATATTTTGTACTGAGTGCTCTTACCATTTGGAAATTTGGGTAACAATGTTGATATGCTTGCTCTTTCTGTATGTGATGCTAGAGATTGAATCCGGGGTCTTATCTCACCAGACAAACACTCTACCAATTGAGCTTTATCCCCAACTCCTATTAGCTTGCTTTTAATTGTTTTGTATTGGGGAGTGGTACTGGAGATTGAACTCTTGGGTGCCTTACCACTAAGCCATATCCCTGGCCCTTTTTATTTTTTGAGACAGGGCCTCACTAAGTTGCTTAGGGCTTCATAAGTTGCCGAGGCTAGCCTCAAACTTGAAATCCTCTTGCCTCAGCCTCCGAGTTGCTGGAATTACAGGTGTGCACCACTGTGCCTGGCTTAATTCTTATGCTCTAGTAAATGTTTCTTAGAAAATATTTTTCTAAAGTATGGAGAATATTGTTATATCGTGCATTGTGTTTATACACAAATATGTAACAACAAATCCCATTAATATACACAATTATAATGCACCAGTAAAATAATATAGGAAAGGCTGGGCGCAGTGGCACATGTCTGTAATCCCAGTGGCTCAGTAGGCTGTGGCAGGAGGATCATGAGTTTAGAGCCAGCCTCAGCAACTTAATGAGGCTCTAAGCAGCTCGGTGAGACCCTGTCTGTAAATAAAATTTAAAAAAGGGGTGGGATGTGGCTCAGTGATTAAGCATCTCTGGGTTTAATCCCCAGTATCAAAAAAAGGGGGAAAAAAGTGGTATCATTCAGATCCTATCTCCCAGCTGACAGGGAAACATTTTTTCAGGCTGAAGAAGGGGAATACAGCGAAGAAGAAAACTCCAAAGTGGAACTGAAATCAGAAGGTAATGATGCTGCAAATTCTTCAGCAAAAGAAGAGAAGGGAGAAGAAAAGCCTGACACCAAAGGCACCGTGACTGGAGAGAGGCAAAGTGGGGATGGACAGGTCAGTACACAGCATAGTCCTCTTTGGGAGCTTGAATAAGGAATTGCAATCTTGGAAGAGTAAGGAGCCCTTTATCTTTCTTTTAGGAGAGCACAGAACCTGTGGAGAACAAAGTGGGTAAAAAGGGCCCTAAGCATTTGGATGATGATGAAGATCGGAAGAATCCAGCATACATACCCCGGAAAGGGCTCTTTTTTGAGCACGATCTTCGAGGGCAAACTCAGGAGGAGGAAATCAGGTAATGGCTACTTGGTGCTGCTGCATTCTAGCATGTATTTTGAGCTTACTGTATGTCAAGACACTTTATCAAGTGCTTTACCTGTATTATCTTGTTTACTATTCAAAATTTAAGGTAAGAATCACAATTACTATGCTCTTATACAGATGAGGAAAATAAAGCATAGAATGTTTGGTAATTTTTGGTAGGGGAGCTAAGACCCAGACCCAGTCAGTCTCCAAAACCCATCACATTTCTGCCTCCCTTAATAGGAGGCCTCTGAGCTATGAAGTACTTGCATAGGATAAGAGATGTTTCAAAGTACCAAGTGGATAAAGACACTTTTCCTTGATTTTGTCTAGACCCAAGGGGCGTCAGCGAAAGCTATGGAAGGATGAGGGTCGTTGGGAGCATGACAAGTTCCGCGAAGATGAACAGGCTCCAAAGTCCCGACAGGAGCTTATTGCTCTTTATGGCTATGATATTCGCTCAGCTCACAATCCTGATGACATCAAACCCCGAAGAATCCGGAAACCTCGGTGAGGAAATTTTGGATTGTTGATATTTAAAAAAAAAACAAACTCCTCTGCTTTTCTGAATGCCTTTCTAGCTAATAAGTGAGTGGATAAGGAAATGGAATGTGTCCCTGAATCACTTTATATCTATCATGGTCCCTTAAACAGTTTCTCCGTTTCCCTTTTTTTAGATTTGGGAGTCCTCCCCAAAGAGATCCAAACTGGATTGGTGAGCGTCCAAACAAGCCCCATCGCCATCAGGGTCCTGGGGGTACCCTACCACCAAGGACATTTATTAACAGGAATGCAGCAGGTACTGGCCGCATGTCTGCACCCAGGAATTACTCTCGATCTGGGGGCTTCAAGGAAGGTCGTACTAGTTTTAGGCCTGTGGAGGCTGGTGGGCAGCATGGTGGCCGGTCCGGTGAGACTGTTAAGCATGAGACTAATTACCGGTCACGGCGCCTAGAGCAGACTTCTGTGAGGGATCCATCCCCAGAAGCAGATGCTCCAGTGCTCGGCAGTCCTGAGAAAGAAGAGGCAGTCACAGAGACATCAGCTGTTGCTCCTGACACAGCACCACCAGCCCCTGACAGGCCTATTGAGAAGAAATCTTATTCCCGGGCAAGAAGAACCCGAACCAAAGTTGGAGATGCAGTCAAAGCTGTTGAGGAGGTTCCCCCTCCACCTGAAGGGCTGACCTCAGCACCTCCAGTCTCAGAAACCACCCCTCCTCCATCTACTAAGACAGGGAACTGGGAAGCTCCAGTAGATTCTGCTGCAGGTGGACTAGAACAAGATGTGGCACAACTAAGTATAGCAGAACAGAATTGGAGTCCAGGACAACCTGCATTCTTACAACCACGGGAGCTTCGAGGTAGGTATTATAGCGTTGATGGCTAGCTGTTTTTCTGTATCATTGGGCTTAGGAATTTGGGAATTATATCTTACCTTTTCATTAACTGAGTAAAAGTATGGGTTAATTGGTTCATTTGTCCAGTTCTCAGAGCATTTGTGTCTTTTACCCAAGGCTATCTCACTACTTTTTAATTTTTTTTTCCTTTTCTGGTACTGGGGATTGGACCAGGGCCTTGTACATGGTAGGCTAATGCTTTACCACTGGGGTACATCCCTAGCACTTGTTATTTTATTTTGACACAGGGCGTCACTAAGTTCCCAGGCTGGCATGGAAATCGTGATCCTCCTGCCTCAGCCTCCCAAGTGTCCCACTACTTTAGGTACTATTAACTGATCATTGTTGAGCCTCTGAGTCAGAATCCTTTTCTGTTCTCTATATAAAAATGTAGAAAAGGGCTAGAATTGTGGCTCAATGGTAGAGGGCTTGCCTCATACCTGTTAGGCACTGGGTTCGATCCTCAGCACCACATAAAAAAATAAATAAATAAAATAAAGTTATTGTGTTCATCTACAACTTAACATATTTTTTTAAATGTGGAAAAAAGGGGCTGGGGTTGTATCTCAGTGGTAGAGTGCTTGCCTAGCATGTGTGAGGCACTGGGTTTGATACTCAGCACCATATATAAATAAATAAAATAAAGGTTCATCAACAACTAAAAAAACATTTATTAAAAAAAACGTGGGGGCTGGGGATGTGGCTCAAGCGGTAGCGCGCTCGCCTGGCACGTGTGCGGCCCGGGTTCGATCCTCAGCACCACATACAAAACAAAGATGTTGTATCCGCCGATAATTAAAAAATAAATATTAAAATTCTCTCTCTCTCTCTCTCTCTCCCTCCCTCCCTCTCTCTCTCCTCTCTCACTCTCTCACTCTCTCTTAAAAAAAAAAAATTGTGGAAGAAAGGGGCTGGGGTTGTGGCTCAGTGGTAGAGCACTCGCCTAGCACAAGCTGCAAGGCCCTGGGTTTGATCCTCAGCACCACATAAAAATAAATAAATAAAATTTATTGTGTCCAATTATAACTAAAAAAGTAAATGTAAAAAAAATATTTAAAAATGTGGAAGAGGGGCTGGGGATGTGGCTCAAGTGGTAGCGTGCTCGCCTGGCATGCGTGCGGCCCGGGTTCGATCCTCAGCACCACATACAAAACAAAGATGTTGTATCCGCCAATAACTAAAAAATAAATATTAAAATTCTCTCTCTCTCTCTCTCTCTCTCTCTCTCTCTCTCTCCTCTCTCACTCTCTCTTTAAAAAAAAATGTGGAAGAAAGAAAAACAAAGTGGAAGAAGGTGGCAGTGTTGTTAATTGTTTGAGACACCAGCTGTTGCTCCTGACACTGCACACTGTTTGAGCTAATGGTTAATATGTGTGCGTGTGTGTGTGTGTGTGTGTGTGTGTGTGTGTGTGTGGTGCTGGGTGAACCCAGGGCCTTGTGCATTAGAGCCAAGCACTCTACCAACTGAGCTATATACTCAGCAGCCCCACTAATGATAATATTTGAAGGCAGAAACTTTCTCATTTGAGTCTGGATTGGGCTCTTCTGTTTTTGAAGGAATGTCTGTCAAATGTCATTAGCCTTCTAGAGACAGAGTGCCCAGTAGAACTTTATGTAATTCTGGTGCTTTTGAATACTTGAAATGTGACCAGAGGGAGGAAGTGAACTTATTTAAAATTTAAATAGCCACATTGGGGCTAGGATTGTGTGGCTCAGCGGTAGACCAGTTGCCTAGTATGGGCAGGACCCGGGTTTGATTCTCAGCCTCACATAAAAATAAAGGCATTGTGTTGTGTCAATCTACACCTAAAAAATAAATATTAAAAAAAAATTTTTAAATAGTCACATATGGCTAGTGAGTCATCATATTAAACAACATAGTTCTACAGAGTAGGACCTAATGTCCCTTTTGCCCATTCTGCTTTGTCTGCTAACCAGATAGGCTGAGGTGTCTTCTTAGTTTCTGAAGACTAATGGAAACTTAAAGATAGGAAGTCCTCATCTGAACTGGGAATGCAACACCCTCCTCTAGTACATGTGATTTTTAAATACCCCAAATCAGTGTAGCCTATATTGGACCTAGAATTGATCTCTAAGAGTAGTAGATACACTTGGCTGATTTGGGGGGGTTTTGAGGGGGATTCTGGGGATTGATCTACTTTTTGAGCTACTTTTCTGCTTTTCTGGTACTAGGGATTGAACCAACTCTTTTTGTTTTATTTTGAAATAGGGATCTCTGTAAATTGCGTAGGGCCTCACTCAGTTGCTGAAATTGGCCTTGAATTTGTGATCCTGCTGCCTCAGCCTCCCAAATTGCTGGGATTACAGGCATGCCCCACCACGACCAGCTTCCCACTAGTGCTTTATTATCATTCTAAGACAGTCTCTGATTCTTTTTTATCCTGAGTAATTTTCAGCCAATGTGGAATCTTCCCAAATACCGATACCTGTGCCAATAATGTAATCAAGTAGATTTAACAGAATATTAACTGCTCTCCAGTTGCTGCTCTGAATTTTCTGGGCTGAGATTTTACAGTATGTTTGATAATGTGCTAATTATAACCTCCCAGGGCCTCTATTCAGGGAAGTGTTTGGTAGGGAAAATTTGAGCATAAGGGGTTTTTGTTTATTGGTTGGTTGAGTTTTGTTTTGGTTTTGGTGCTGGAGATTGTACCCAAGGGTTCTTTGTCACTCAACCACATCCTAGTCCTTTGGGGGTTTTTTTGTTTGTTTGTTTGTTTTTTTGGTTTTTGTTTTTTTAATACTGGGGATTTAACTCAGGGGCACTCAACCACTGAGCCACATCCCCAGCCCTATTTTGTATTTTATTTACTCACTGAGTTGCTTAGCACCTTGCTATTGCTGAGGATGGCTTTGAACTTGTGATCTTCCTGCCTCAGCCTCCTGAGCCTCTGGGATTATAGGCATTCACCACTGCTCCCGGCTCCAGTCCATTTTTATTTTGAGACAAGGTTTCACTAAATTGCAGAGGTTGGCCATGAGCTTTCAGTCCTCCTGCTTCACTCTCCTGAATTGCTGGATTAAAGGTGTGTACCACCTCATCTACCATGAGTTTTTTAAAATTTTCAGACATGATCTCATTAAGTTGTCCAGGTTGTCCTCAATTTGTGATTCTCTTGCCTCTGCCTCCTACATGGGATTACAGGTGTGTGCCGCTGCACCCAGTTGAACATGAGTTTCTTCACTGAAGTCATTTTTTTTTTTTATGTTTAAGTACTTTATTACTGTGTTAAGGTGGTTGGAAATAGGGGCAAATTTTCAAATGCTATTATTGCCCATAAGGAGATAGTTTAAAAAGAGAAAACTAGGACTGGGGTTGTGGCTCAGCAGTAGAGCACTCACCTAGAACGTGCGAGGCCCTGGGTTTGATCCTCAGCACCACATAAAAATAAATAAATAAAGGTATTGTGTCTTACTACAACTAAAAAATAAAAATATTGAAAAAAAAAGAAAAAGAAAACTAGCAGGTGGTACACGCCTGTGATCCCAGTGACTCAGGAGCTGAGGCAGGAGGATTGCAAGTTTGAGGCCAGCCTCAGCAATTTAGTGAGGCTCTAAACAACTTAGATCCTGTCTAGAAATTAAAAAGGGGCCAATGGTTAAGGCCCCTGGGTTCAATCCTTGGTACCAGAAAAGAAAAGAAATCCAGCTGGTTCAATCCCCAGTACTGTTACTACTACTACTAATTATTATTATTATTACATAAATAAAAGAAGAAAGCTTTTCCCCATGTTCAACTTGTCATTTCTTGGTGACACCCTTGAGTCCCACTCAAAACAGTCACTTTTTGTTGTCTACTACAGGTGTGCCGAACCACATACACATGGGAGCAGGACCTCCACCTCAGTTTAACCGGATGGAAGAAATGGTACAAAAAGGGAAGAGGAGTAATTGGGGGAGGGCTGCATATTATAGCTTGTTTACTGTTTAAACCAAGATAAGGTCTTGATGTTAATTTCCCCATTGATTGCTCATGTTTCTTTTAATTTAAGTCTCAGAAATGTAGAGTAGAAGATTTAGATTGGGATATTGATTCTTTTCATTGATTTTTCATTTATTTTGCAAATACTAAACACCTTCCAGGTACCAAGTGTTTTCCAGCATCTAGCAAAAGATAGAACTTTATATGAGAGTCAGCCATTAGAAGTCTTGTTCAGGTCTCTCTCTTTACCTCAGGGTGTCCAGGGTGGTCGAGCGAAACGCTATTCATCCCAGCGGCAGAGACCTGTGCCAGAGCCTCCTGCCCCTCCTGTGCATATCAGTATCATGGAGGGACATTACTATGATCCACGTGAGTTGTTTGTTACTGTTTGGGTACCTTTCTTGGCATGGTGAAGTGAATTAAGAGGCCAGCCTTTTATCTCTTAATTTCCCTTCTTACCTCTCAAACTATTCTCAAACATTGCCTAGTTGCTTTTTTTTTTTTTTCACGTGGAAAATTGAGGACATCTTTTAAAGGGTTTGGGAGACAGGAAGACATTTCCTTGTGATATGAAGAGAGTCACAATATGATATCTTACAGTGCAGTTCCAGGGACCAATCTATACCCATGGTGACAGTCCTGCCCCACTGCCCCCACAGGGCATGATTGTACAGCCGGAAATGCACCTTCCTCACCCAGGTAAGTTTTGTACTTCTGTCTGTATGCTTCTAGTATATAAGGATGTGTTTTGGGTACTCCATAAACCCCAGCATACTTGAGTTCTTTGCTGCTAGCCTGTGAGGCTGGCCATCCTAGCTGTTTGAGTCCATTCTGAGGATTTCCATTCTGAGCTGCTTTGTGCTGCAGTTCACCCAGACCATCCTGTGAAAATGGAAGTATCTTTTTCAGTTTTTGTCATCCTGTTCTTGTCCAGGTTTACATCCCCACCAGACACCGGCACCTCTGCCCAATCCAGGCCTCTACCCACCACCAGTGTCCATGTCTCCAGGACAGCCACCACCCCAGCAGTTGCTTGCTCCTACTTACTTTTCTGCTCCAGGAGTCATGAACTTTGGTAATCCCAGTTACCCTTATGCTCCAGGAGCACTGCCTCCCCCACCACCTCCTCATCTATATCCTAATACACAGGTGAGATGGCTAATGAGCAGATTTTTCTAGGTCCATATCTTTTAAATCAGACAGGACTGTGCTGTGAGGAGAATGCTAAAGGAATTTGAGAACTTTTCAGTGATGCTGATTTCATGTGGGGCAAGGATGCCTCCTGGTGGCCAGGTGCTGGAAATGCAGCTTATGTAATGCTTATCAGTTTATTCACTTCAGCTTCTTTAATGGTATTTCATTGAGTGTTTTGAGGGTATATCATATCTGCTGTTTACTCAGCAGCACAAAGGAGCTGTATTCTAGCCAGTTATGGTGGTAAACACTTATAACCCCCTAGCTATTAGGGAGACTGAGACCAGAGGACCAAAAGTTTGAGGACAGCCTAGGTAACTTAATTAGCAAAAACCCTATGCAAGTCCCTGCATTCAATCCCCAGTAAAACACACACACACACACACACACACACCACAGAGAGAGAGAGAGAAATTCTCCTCGACAACTTGCCCTACTTTGTCCTGCTTAACTTCCTTGATACCATCTGTATCTGGAGTGTCACCATTGAGCTCAGCCTTTGCCATTTGTTACCAGATGGTAGAAACTGAAGAAAGCTGGGCAGTATTTTGGAGGAAGTAACCAGAACATAATAGTGACATATTAAGGCAGAAATGAAAAGTCACATTATTTTAAAGGGGGCAGCTTAAAACTTAAAAATTATAGAAATTCTCCAGTACTCTTAATTTTTGTGGGTAGATAATGTTTCCTCTTTGTTATAGGCTGGATGAAATAATTCTTAGCTTTTTCTTCTCTTGGCTTGTGGGGTCTCAGGCTCCATCACAGGTATATGGAGGAGTGACCTACTATAACCCTGCCCAGCAGCAGGTGCAGCCAAAGCCCTCCCCACCCCGGAGGACTCCCCAGCCAGTCACCATTAAGCCCCCTCCACCTGAGGTATGAGCTTCTCCCCATATTTATGGCATATGCTTACATTAGTGGCTTTCCATTTTGCAGAGAATTTCTCTGCTCTTCAGGTTGTGTTCCTGTGGAATGTAGTCTTTTTTGGTATGACCTGATAGGAAATTTTAACTTTATTTCAGATTGTAAGCAGGGGTTCCAGTTAACATGACTTTCTGAATATTTTAACTCTAACATCATAGAGAAGTAAGTGAACAACTTATTATGACTTTTGTTCTTAAAACTAATGATTGTACTTGCTTACTTAACAACCAAAATCACCTAATTAATGTTTTATGTTATAATCATGGGATATATCTGAAGCTTTAAAGGAAGGACACACAGAATCTGCCAGTTTCTTTGTTTTGCAAATGTATTAGGCAGAGTTGAAGCAGAATCTATTGTTAACTTGACAGTTTCATTTGGGAATCTGTAAGGAAAATACACAGGAATACAGTATATTGACCAAGAAAAGTGGAAATCAGAATTGAAGGTAATATAGCAGAAGGAGTCAGTTTTGAAGATCATAAATGAGAAGGAACATGAGGGTTACTGTGTTTTAAGATCATTAAAACATTTAGGGTCTGGGAGTGTAGCTCATGGTGATAGAGCGTTGCTTAGCATGTGCAAGGCCTTGGGGTTTATCCTTAGTGCCACAAAACATAACAAAACCACATTATTTAGAATGTGGCTTCATGAGAACAGTTTGTAAATGATCAGAGGTTCACTAACATTTTGGTGGTTCTTCCCTTTCTCAAGAACAGCGGAGATGAGATCTCAGGAGGGAAGAGAAATTCAACTGGCTATCTATCACCCTGAGGGCTTCAAAGGTATAGGGTGGCCCTACCAGCAAGCATCTGAAGGAGGAGGAGCCCTCTTCCTCTGAGGACAGGCTCTGCTGGAGAGAGGAGAAACAGGTGACCTCCTCGCACCTCCACTCTTCACTTGAGCTGTCTGTGCTCAGGGGAGCAGAGACCCAGACAGCCCAGGCTTCTGAGGATAGATTCAGAAGCCCAAGTCTTGCTCTTCTTCATTTTCTCCTGGGAAATTTAAGTGTCTTCTCCCAGGGAAGTTCCTGCCTGTTTGTTTTGTTTCCTAAAATGTTTGTTTTTAAAGCCTGGCTTGCTATTTTTAAATTAATATTTTTAGTTTTTCTGTTTCTTTCTCTCTGCCTTTAAATGAAACAAGTTCATTCTTCTGGTTTTCTAGCCCCTCTGGGTTCCCTTTTGACTCTTTTCCTACATCCCAGATAATTGAGAATGTATCAACCAAGTGTAAAAAGAGCTGGCCTTTCACTTTTGGTGGGCCTTTGTTATTCTCTTGTATACTTGAATTCTCTTAACTCCTCTAACCCTGTGGAAACAAAGCTGTCTACACACAGTGTCCCTTTGTGGAGAAAAGCTCAGAGTGGGTGAGTAGGAGCCCTTTTTTGATTTAGGTTTTACAAGTCTGAGCTTCAAACAGTACCTGTGCTCTGGTAGGCTTCAGTCCTCTACTGAGGGCAAAGTCTCTACTGTGGGGAGAAATGGCAAACCAGATACTTTTTCAAGGAAAGAGGGTCGAGTGAGAGTCTTTGCACCTTAGGGGAATGTATTCACACAGTCCTCAGGACTCAGACTTTGAGGTTAGTGGAATTAGAGGACCCTGCTTCTCTTCTTTCCATTCCTACCCCACTCCCTTCTCAGTTGCTATGGACCAATGCATCTCTCTAGAGGCAAATACAGCAAGCAGTCTACCTTGTCCTCTGCAGTTGCTCTTCTCCATAATTTTCCTGCTACAAGTGTTTTAGGTGTTACTTCCCCAAGTTGTCCTGTTCTTGCAAACAGAAGATATGGCACCTGGGCTTAAGGCCTAAGGAAGCCAGTCAGTCACCTTCTGGGCAAGGGCTCTCCCTTCTGTCCTCCCTGTCCATGGCACCAACCTGCTGCCTCTGCGGGATAGCTTCCTGTTATTGCAGCACTGTGTCTGCCAGGGGAAACTTGGCTACTATCCCTGTCCTTCTACAGAACCTGAGGGAGAAGGTTCCCCTAGTAATGTCACTGTCTGTTCTTACTCCTTCCCTCCAGCAGCTGGCCTAGCCACTGAGTCAAGGTGTGGGATTAGGAAGGAGGAGAGGCAATTAAGCTGTAACCCCCAAGAAGGAAATAACTAAGAGGTTCCTTCCAGGGGTAGCCGGCGGTTGTGCCTTTTGTAGGCTTTATTTTGCCTTAAACCTGAAGATGTCTCCTCAAGCCTGTGGGCAGCATGCCCAGATTCCCAGACCTTAAGACACTGTGACAGTTTTCTGTCTGTCCACTATGTTTAGTTGCAAGGATTTCTCCATGTGTGTTGTTGTTTTTTTTATTTTTTGTTGTTGTTGTTACTGTTTTAAAGGGTGCACATTTGTGATCAACATTATGACTTGGAGATAATAAAATTTAGACTATAAACTTGGCTACCTTGCCAGTGTTTTGTGTGAGTATTGATTTGGGAGGAAATGAAGAGGACTTGCTAAATCCCTCACAGATTCACAGTCACAACCCAAGGGCTGGGGATGTAGCTTCTCAGTTGGTAGAGTGCTTGTCTTGCATGGATAAAGCCCTGGGTTCAATCCCTAGCACCACCAAAAAAAAAAAAAAAAGTTGTGGTGGCTCCTGTGGTTATAGAAAACTGGGCTCATACCACTTACCATGGAGACAACCCAAGCCAGCTCAGACTTGTGAAATGGAAGCTCAGAAAGGTGAGGAGCCTCTATGAGGCCCTAAGTATGTCTGTGCTCCCCGTCACTTCTGTTTTTCTGATAAGAAAACCACATTTACATTACCACATAGGTATCAGGATATCATGGAGTCCCTTATTTGGAAGTGTCATGAACAATAAAACTTAGCTCATGTGAACATCTATGCCTTCTTTTGTGTCTTTCTAAAAAAATAAAGATACTGGCACTTAAGAATTTCGGACCACAATGTAAGGGAGAGGTTCCTATCAGTCTTAATACAGATAAGGGGAAGGGAAACTCAAACACTACCAACTGTGGATCATTCTGCCCTTTACCTGGGCCCCTGGTGCACACAGGATGATTCCCAGCTTTGAATTGACTGTTGCTTCCAGATCTGGATAGGATGGAAGTTTGCTGGTATGGGAGAATTTGATGTGGAGTTTTTGTCCTGGAGTTCCAGAAAGGCTTATACTGGGGACATGGATATTCTTAAAACGACAGATGGAAGTTCCCCCAATGCTGCTGCTACGGCTAGATAACCATGAATTTTCCGAGCCCATCCATTGTCATTTTGCTTCCCTTTTCCCCCACATGATGATGATGATATCTGTAGGCCTGGTCTCCAGGGTCATGCAAAGAATGCCAACCAATCTTGGGGGTGGAACAAGAATGTTGAGATGCTTCCCCCTCACCCCTGCCTCCTGCTTCCCTGGTCCTGCAGTTAGATCCCATTGCTCTCTGTTGCCCTGGTAACCAGCTCTGCAAGAAGAAACTCAAGCTCAGCAAAGCCCCCAGGTTCTCTCTGCCCTCCCAGCCTGCTTCTTGGTGGACAGAAAGAAGTGGAGTACAAGGGGCAGACAGATCAGCCTTAGATAGCCCTGCCCAACCCCCTTCTAGACACCCAAAGGCTAAGCTCTCAGTTAAAGCTTTTTGGCCCCCATCTCACGGTTGTAATTCATACCACTCTACTTTTCTCTTTATTTTAACCATGAAAGCAGGTGCCTTACCAACACTCCCCCGGTTGGTTAGCACACAGGCCTGCTACCTTGTGGGTGACTCAAAAACTGCAAAAATTTGGAATCCCAGAGTCATCTCAGCATCTACAGCTCACTAAGACTGGGTTGTACCTCTGATTTTCAACCCTGATTATTTTAATCACCTGGAGAGCTTTTAAAAAATACAAGCTTGGCCCTTCCTCATTTAATTGATTGGGGTGTGGCCTGGGCATCAGTATTTCTATAGTTTCCTGTGATTTCAGTGTGCAATAAAAGGTGGAAAGCATTACTGCTCCAGGAGGACCATTTCCTGGATTCAAGGTCTTGAACTTAAGTCATTACCTGGTGTCCTTGAGTAATTGTCGGTGTGGGGGGGAGTCCTGTCCCCCAACCTTTTAGTTTTCAAAAGTCAGTCCATTTTATTTACAGCTCCCACACCCTTCACACTCCCCAATTCACCCTAACCGACAATCCCAAATCCTGCCCAGAGAGAAGGTTACCAAGGCAACCGGCTTAATCTGGTAACTGTGGCATGTGCTGGGAGAAAAGCCCTCTCCTCTTCCTGTTTGGATCATAAAATGCTACCTGGGGAGCTCCAAGCCACTCCAGCCAGTTTCCCCTTTCAACCTGAGAGATACTGGGATGTCCAAAAAAACGGAGCCCAGGAAACTGATACTCAAACCTAGCTTCTTAGCCATGATTGGGTTCGTTCTTTTTATTGTTCCCTCTCCAAATCCCCAGATGGGTGTGCAGAGCTTTATTTCTGTGAACACATGCCATAGCACACATGGGACTAGATATGCACATACAGTGACATGAGTGTAGTATACACCCTGTCAGTTCCACCACCACCACTCCCAGCTATTAGCATTCCTATCCTTGCCTGGCTAGTGCACAGTACACGGGTGGAGCATTGTCCAAGGAGCCTCAACCCAGCTGGAACAGGGTGCCACTCCCTTGACCTTGAAAACTTTACCTGGATGTGTTCACACTGTCTCTATCACTCTCCTCCTGGGGGGTTAAGGGGGGGTGTACCCTTAGGGACAGGAGGCTCTTGATATGAACATTAGGAATAAGGATTATTTGGAATGCAGTCTGAATACACTATTCCCATTCTATTGCTATGTGACACTGTGCTTGGTGTGCTTGATGATGTTAGTTGGCAGGTGGGTTTGTCACCCATTTCTGTGGCCCTGCTTCCTTCTACCAGTGGGCTCAGGTGCCCTCATATTCCTGGTCTCCTCCCTTCTGCCTACTATTTCTTTTCACCCAAACTAGACCTGCCACAACCTGCTGCTCTCTACTTGACTCTTACTTGCTTGCCAGTACCTGCCTCACAGGCCAGCCCTGCACCACCTACTATGCCCCACTAGAGAGGGCAGAAGGGCACCGCCCCCAGTGCCAAAGCCAATCCACCCAAGAGGGCTTCCTAGCCTTTCTTATTGGAGTTAAAGACCAGGTATTCCTGTGAGTATGGTAGAGGTGTGGTGTGCAGGGTTCAGCAATCTTTGTAGGTCTCACCTGTTCTGTACAGGTAGGTGAGTCCAAGTGCAGGCTACAGACCATGTCTGGCTATTTGCAGTGATGCTAAGAGACCCAGTAATTCCATAAACCAGGAATCCTTCTCCGTTATTAAGTCATTCCCTCGCCTTTGCCTTTAAATTCTGCGTCTGCTCTGAAACCAAGCCCCTGTTTCCTTCATGGTCAGCCCCAGCACCCAAGTTCAAGCCTCGCGCGGCCCGGGGGGGGGGGGGGGGGGGGGGGGGGGGACGGACGGACCCAGGGATGGTAGAGGCGGGAAAGGGGCGGGGACTGGGCAGGGACTAGAGAAGGGGGCGCGGTCTCTGTTCTGCCACCTTCCCCCTGGCGAGGAGCGCAGCCGCCGCCGCCGCCGCCGTGTCCTCTCAGCCTTGCGCTGGGCACGCTGCCTCTGCCGCCGCAGCCCGGCCCAGGCGCGGAACCTGGGGCACTGGCCCCGTTGCCTGCCCACCCTTCGGCTGCAGCCGGCATGGGCAGCCACTGAGAGCGGGCACTCCTTCCCTCTGGCACCTCCCCTGGCCACCGGCCACTGGACTTCGGCCAGCAAGCCTCGGCCACCTCTAGTCCCCAGTCCGGCGCCTGGCACGGCCCTCCGCTCTGCTCCTCCGGCTCTGAGCATCGCGTTCCTGCCCCCCCCCGCCCCCGCCCGCGCCTGGGACACCTGGGTCCCCCGGCGGCCCTTAGGAGAGGGGCGGGGGGGGGTATGAAGCCGCTGGAGAAATTTTTGAAGAAGCAAACGTCGCAGCTGGCGGGACGGACGGTGGCGGGAGGTCCTGGCGGGGGTCCGGGGAGCTGCGGCGGGCCTGGAGGGGGTGGGGGACCTGGCGGGGGCGGCGGTCCAGCCGGGGGACCGCGGCCGCTGCAGCGGCGTCAGAGTGTGTCTCGCCTGCTGCTCCCAGCTTTCCTCCGGGAGCCCCCAGCCGAGCCAGGGCTGGAACCGCCCGCTGAGGAAGAAGGGGGAGAGCCCGCGGGGGTCGCAGAGGAGCCGGTCAGCGGGGGACCCTGTTGGCTACAGCTAGAGGAGGTGCCAGGGCCAGGGTCGCTCGGGGGCGGGGGACCCCTGCGCTCCCCTTCTTCGTACTCCTCAGATGAACTGTCCCCAGGCGAGCCCCTCACTTCACCGCCCTGGGCGCCCCTGGGTGCTCCTGAGCTGCCGGAGCATCTTCTGAACCGGGTTCTGGAACGGCTGGCTGGAGGGGCCACCAGGGACAGCGGCGCCTCAGGTAAGAAGTCCACAGGCTCATCCATCCCAGAGCAGGGGGTGCCCCTGGTTCCTCTTCTTGCCCTTGGAGAGTGGGAATGGCCCTGAGCCTGGGTGTGGATTTGAGGGCTCCCCCTAAACCGGGTAGGGACTGAGCTAAGCCACAGACCCTGTCTCAAGCACAAGAGGAGCAGCAGTGCCCACCTTCATTCCCGTAGCTGTCTCACCCACCAGGGAAGAAGCTGAGCCTCCTCTCCTTCAGCTACCCTTCCCCTCCTCTGGACATTTTAGCCACAATCTCCCATGGGTCCCTGCTGTTGACTGCCTCCTCCTGTGCCCTTAAATTGGGACCTGACATATTAAAATGGAAGCTTCTGAGCTCAACCTGTGCAGCCTTCGAATAGTGCCCAAGGCCTGAAAAACCTGACAGGAGTCCCTGACTGTGTAAAAGCCCCAGAGCACAGGCCAGCCCACTTGATAAATCAGCGTGGACAAGGCCCAAGCTGCCTTTGGGGGTTAGGCAAAGGCATCTTCCTTAGCAGCTTGGTAGGGGCTAGCATTCTATTTGGGGATGGACTCAGTGTTTGTGAAGAAAGGGGCCTCAGCATCAGGGCCTGTGCATCAGGGCCCTGCAACATCCAGGGGAGTTGGGGCTTTTCTGGCTCCCACCCTTCCGGTGTCAGGCCTTTGCTCTTGGCTGCTTTAAAAAATAATAACCACACCCTGAGAGGCTTATTCCCTAAATGATGATGCTATTTCACCCCTCCCCATCAGCACCTTACTAAGGGGCCTTTAAGAAAACTGAGTCCCAAATTACTGGTTAGTGCTGAGGTAGAAGACCTCGGACTCTTAGGTCCAACTCTAGACAGGCATTAAGCATAGGAGGGTCTGAGGTTTGAAGCCCAAGTTGAGACCCTAAAGATGGGTGAGGGATTACACTTTGCTCTTAGCCCTCTGCAAGGAACTCCAACCTAGGTGTGTGGAGTGGGACACCTCCCCT